CAAAATGGTCCATACACTAAGAAAAATAACACAAGGTATGAAAGAATTTCCCAGTAATGCATTGAGACTGAAAATGAAGGCAAAAACATTTCCAATCAGAACTCATGTATCATATTCCTGTGATCTTAAATAGACCCATCAAAATGTGGGACGCAGGCAGCTCTCCCAAAGACAAAGACCAGACACAGACAAAAGATCCTCAACTGCTACACAACTTATCCGATGAATAAAATATGACACTGTAATGTATTTTAAGCCTGAGCGTGGTCCTCTCCGCTGTGGGGATGTTTATCAATAAAAATATTAAAATCCTGTTTGACCAAATTTGTACGTATATTGTTTCCCTGAAGACACAGACTACATCATGCTAGAGGAGTACATCCATAAATAATAACATGCAGACAAGTTGAACATCTTGTGTGTCCACCAACACCTAGAGGCCAATACCAACCTCACAGCACAGAAAGAGAAAAGGAAGAAAACGTGGCTCACTTTGCTGGATGCTCAAATGTATATTTCTTTTTTTTAATTCATGAAGAGTTTGCCAAAAAATGCTAATGTCTTTTCCAAAATTATTGCTAACATTAAAGCAAAAGATGTTGGCTCCCCTACCTAAGAATTGCTGAACATGCATGCACTGAATGTTTAGTTTTTTTGTTTCGAATGTTGCTTTCCGTTGACGACATCTTATTTGGCTGAGATCAGTGCTAATTGGTCAGAACTTTCAAAATGTCGGGAACCTTTGCAACACTGCAGTTTAATACACTTACACAATTGTAAATCAAATTTATGAGGCAGCCAATAACCAAATACGGAGAAATGGGTCAGCACAAGGAAGTGACATTCTGTACAAATCTGCCAAAACAAATGCAAACTAACTGCCTCATTGTGAGTGGTGAGTGTACTGTATGCCTTTGAGACATGGATTGCTGTAAAGTTCTTCAGGTCAATGTCCCAGATTATTTAAATCCCAAAGCCCCCTAAAAAAATAAAAAATAAAAAGGGGGCTTTGGGATTGGAAGTGAAAAGAGGCTTTATGAGCTTTCATTTTTGCTCACAATGGCCAAAGAAGGTAATACAAAAATGGCCTGAGACATGACAACTTTGTGCAGTGACAGAACTGGGAGTCCATGGCTGTGAAGAAGAGGAGGAATGCGGAAAGTTGAAAGGATGGATGAAGGAGAGCTGCGGTGGCAGGGATCAGGTTATCAATACAGCCAATGGAGCGCAGTGGAAACTCTGTAAGCCCAATGGGACCAAATGCAGAATGCTGCAGTGAGCTGCTCCAGCACAACGCCCTGGGACAGAGGTCAGCACTCACACTTCATTTCTATTTTACTCTGTTTTATTCTACTATAAAGGCTGGAAGCTAATCTGACTTCCCTAGTTATTGTAGATGATTCTTGTTTACTTGTATTTGTCAGATTTGGACATTTTGTTGCTTTGGAGATGTTAGATGCAGTTAAGGGTTAGCACACGAATGGCAGAAAGATACGGGATGACATGTGACATAGGTCGGACCATCAAACGCTTGCTTTTTGCCAGCAACAGCTTCAAATGTGTACATTTTTTTATTAGATCTCTATTTTCTCTACTATAATGTGCTGTCACATACACTATCCATTGTGCTCGCCTGCACTGCTTGCACAAAGTAGTAATGCATGCACACACACACACACACACACACACACACACACACAC